AAAAAGAAGAAAGGCAAAGGCGGAAAAGGCGGTGATGAGGATGAAGATGATGCTGGTAAACAGAAGAAGGGCAAGGGTGACAAAGGGCGGAAGGGTGCAGACGAAGGCGAAGACGAAGATGATACCGGCAAAAAGAAGAAACGAAAAAGCAGAAAAGGCAGTGATGAGGATGAAGATGATACTGGTAAAAAGAAGAAGGGCAAGGGTGACAAAGGGCGGAAGAGTGCCGACGAAGATGAAGATGAGGATGATACCGGCAAAAAGAAGAAAGGGAAACGCCGTGGAGGGCGTTTGGGTGCCGATGAAGATGAAGAAGACGCTACAGGCAAGAAAAGGAAACAAAAGGGCAGCAAAGTCGGAAAGTTTGGTGGCGATGAGGAATACGATGAAAAAGGTGCAAAGAAGACTAGAAAAGGATCCAAAGCGGCCAAAGGTAGGCCTGGAGAGGGCTATGACGAGGGCGACGAAGACGAAACGGGCAAAAAGAAAACAGGGAAAGGTGGTAAAGGAAGAACATCGTTGCGTGGATCGCAATTGGAACGGGGTTCCAAGAAAGAACATATTCGTGGAAGCGCTGATATCTATTCAAAACGTTATAAAACAGACCGAGAAGCCCGAATTTTTGATAAGCTGCGTGCCGGTATGGAAGAAAAGGATCTTACGTAAGTTTCCTTTTAATATTCCCTCTTTCTTTTAATCTAAATTTTTTATTAATAATTTTAGGCGTCGCATACCTGTACGGCGACCATCCAGGGCGGACGGACCTTGTTTTGGTCCATGTAGAGAACCCTGCGTTAGTGTACCGCGTAGCGAACCGTGTCCGTGTTCCTGCCCTTGTCCTCCTTTCCCCTGCCCTTGCCCTTGCCCCTGTCCGTGGCCTCGCTCTTGCTCTCGTTCTTGCACGCGCCCTTGCCCCTGTCCTTGTCCACCGCCCTGTGCCAACCCTTGCATTTGTCCAACTTACTCTTATTGTCAAGTACCCACGCAATTTTGTATGGGAATGCCTCTATCAGCCAGTCCGTGCTAAAGTGATTTTCATATTTGTTTTGTACATTTGCTACAATTCATACCTATTTTGTATATTTGATATATTCGATACAAGTTTTGTACATTTGATACAAACGAATATGCAGGCATTTTCAAAGAAGAACGACCGGAATGCTCAACGGTGGAGAATCGCACGCATGTAAACCATATGTAAAAAATTGAGATTAAAAATGGTACAAATGTTTTGGTTTGTTATTTTAAATAGCAGTTTCGGTTTTGAAAACTGTTCTTATTATTAGCATATATATGCAAAATACATTTTTCAAAATTTCATCTTTTTTTAAAACTCAATGTTATTATAAAGATTTTATCTATCCACGTAGGTATATACTTTATAAGTCTGCAGCAAACCATTTTCCGAGTGTGTTAACTACGTAGGTTCGAAACAAATTACAGGGAACTTTTTTAGTTTTAGCGAGTAAATCAGTTGCACTATTTACACTTTTCGAAAAGGAAACGCCACTTAGTCAGCAAAATTTGTCTAGTTTTCGACCAGAAACTCGGGCAATACTAAAACCAGTCGAGCTCGTCTGCTTGCCGCTAACGCCAAAATGATTGGTTTTAACGCCTCACGGTTAACGGTTAAATTGACTGATTTATTCGAAATGTTTGATGAAATTTTTATGGCGAGCTCTTTGCTAAGGTCATCGAAACAACGGCATTAAAATGTAAATATCAATGTCAACATCAACAACAATCATGTCAGTAACGGCTGGCATTGATGATTATAGAAAATATTTCTTAAAAGACATTATGAATATAAAAATGTTTACATTTCTTTTGAGATTTTTTATTTTTATTACTTTTTGCTAAAATGTGATTTTTTTTCTTTTTTTTCTTTGGCTAATGGACTTTTAATTTTTTGTTCAAGTTAGGGGTTGACGTTCAAATTTATTTTGAAACAGAGGACGATGAGTATTAGTTCTTAAATTCCACTTTTTTGAATGGAGAGTAATTAGAAAGTAATTCAAGCCAATTGAATCTCTTGCTTCTCCAGCCTGGTTTCACCAATGGGAGGTAAGATGAGTTTGTTTGCTATTAATAATATATGAAAGTAAACATCGGAAAATCCATGAACTGTGTGTACAGGGGCGTAATGGAATCATTTTGAGCAAATCTATATGCTAACCATCAAGCTTGAGTGTACAATTTAGCCTTAAAACCACAAGGCACCTATTATTCTTTGAAATTTTTTCACATCTACCGCCGAAGCGTTGGTGGTTTATTCATTTTGTGAAAATGTTTGAAACTTGCGCTGAGACTCAATAAATTATGTTTTCTTGATCGACACCAAATTCAAAGTTGATCTAAGCACGTTCGTTTGTCCGTCTCGTTGTCTGTTCGTCTTTTCGTCTGCGTTTTTGTGGGTCTACCCGTGTGGCTATTTGTGTGGAGTCTGAAACATTAAAAGTCCTTGCGCGCAGATTGGTATTGAAAGCAACTCGAATCGTTGAAAGTACAGTACAATGTAAGCAAAGAAAATTTGGATTTTCTCCTTTATAATCTAAAACGCGTACACGTCAAAAATTTTAAAGTGTATTCTACAGAAATGGTAGAAATATGTGGCTTTCAATAAATGTTATATTGTTTCGTCGTCCTTGACTTCCTCCTCCTCCAAAAATTTCATCTTTGGCGAAAGATTCGATGAAAAGTTACTTTTTTCTCGTGTTATTACGATAAAGGTAATGGGTATAATAGAGTCCATAACAATCGGATGAGATTAAAAAATTGGATAAATTTACTGTAAACTTGATAGTTGGATGTTTCACTGTTATTTTCCGACCGCATTTTAAAAAAAATTTCCTCCTAATGATTTTGAAAGTTACCTTGTCTGAATATTTGCTCCGAGCCCCGGACTCTTAGGCATTAGTAAAACGTCTTGGAAATCTTGAGCAATTTTTCTTATGATATATATATATATATATATATATATATATATATACTTCAACTGCAAGTATTACGCATTTTTCAAACCTTGTCCCAAATTTTTGGATTATGTTTTTTGCATCGATCAATAGAGTACATAACGTCTGAACAGTTTTAGGATAAATTATTTTTAGTTAATCATCAACGTATATGGATAGACTCGATTGGTCGATATATTTATCAGGCGATGGAAAAAACTGCACTTGCTTTTAAAATGACCCAACACGTACACATACGTATATGTTAGTATTATATTGATAAATATAGAAATTAAAGGTAGAAATATTTCTTTACGTATATTCGGCGGTCTATTCATAGGTTTATAATTAACGTAAGATTTTGCTTCTCTAAAAGTTTTCTCATTTAATTATTTTATTTTTTTATTTTCTCTCTCTTCTAAATTTTTATATATAAAAGAAACAAAATTTGTAATCATGTTTCTTAGCGTTGGTGTCACAAATCACTCTCAATGATCTTGAAATGTTATTAACATTGAAAATGGCAAAGAAAAGAAAAAAAAACATTATCATAGTATGGGTGACAAAATCATTTAAGTACAATTTAGATTATTGACGTTCGATCTGAAGGATATAAATATGATGGTTATACGTTCACATTAATACGTTACTTTCACACTTCGGTGGTCAGATTTAAATGGTGAACATAGCAAGATTGACTGAAATTGACCTGATCTTTAAATCGTAATCAGCCTTTCCTTCTATATACCCACCATTAGGAATCTAAAAAGAGAGCGAAATGCCTTCGAAAATATGTTCCGACAAAAACATCTTGGCGATTAATATCACTGCAGTTAAATTTTAGGAAGCACTGCCTGTGTACACTTTTACTTAGGGCATTCTAATCTTGACAAGCTCTTCTTCCTTCCTCATACGACGCGATAATGCGCGTCGATAGGAAAACAATTACGAAGAAAATTTTGGCGAAATTTCGCATTGAAAATATAAGTACGAGACGTTCGGAATGCGCATATGATACTTGCTAGCTATATGTCTTTGATCAGCTTGGAGAGCAGGATCACATCATTTATGTCCGTCCATTTATCCGCCCATCTGTTGAAATCACGTTAATAAGCCCATAAGTTTATCCATACTGTACATAAAAGTGAAGGAATTTTGTAATATATATAAAAATAAAAAACAGTTATATACAAAAGTCAATAAATGCGATTCACATTTAAGTATGTTTGCCGTTCAAATCTTTATATTGAATAGATTTTACAATACATTCCTACGTTTGTCAATGCTGGGACGTACTTGCCTTGAGCTGCCTTTGGCGATTATTATGTTGTGGCTATAGCGCATCGGTAATTTTATATGTATACGTTGTGGTTACGCTTACGTAGCATGTTTAAGCTTGTCGTTAATTATAACGGAAAATAAGAAAAAATTGATAAATTTCACTACATTTACTCTAAATTAAATATGAATTTGTTTTGCATCATGCAACCTACGCGAATATATTGTTCAGCAAAATTCTTATTTATTGCTTCTCTGGACTATATGCATAAGACTTTTCGGTCTGTTGAAAAGTTTTCGTTAAATAATATCCTTATGTATGTGTTAACAAGAGTTCTCCTACTTACATAGATGCATGCAAAAAACTCATATTTGCACATATTTTCAAAAAAAAAAAAAATGAATAACCAAAATATAAAGCTTTGTTCTGAAAGATGGGGAGCATATAAGGATTCCTTTTTGTTTTTAATTTTCAATATGATCAAAGAATCAGTACTAAATAATTAACGTGTTGAGAGAAAATGGCTGACAATGTTATAGATGCAAGCAAACAAATACTTTGACGTTATTTTTTTTTTTTTTAAATATATGAGTAAATGTTTTATTTTTACACTTATCACTGAAGGATGAAGGCATACAACTTTTATGCATCCGTTTGCTACATCGAAAACCATGCATAAAATGTGTCTTAAGACAGACAGATAGAAAACAGATCAGTCCCAAGCTGTAAACATCTTTGCTTATAAAATAAGCTTCGAATTGGTCTGTGATGTTTATCCGTTTGATTGAATGGGATCGAGTATAAGAATATTCGATGCATTGATTTAAAATTTTATATGAATTTTAAAAAACCTTCTACAATTCGTTTTAACCCGTAGCGATCTAATGCCATACTTGAAACTTAAAAACGATGAAAGCACTACTGCGGGATACGGCCCACCATTAAATACTCTACACTATCCCGAAGTTATTCATGTAATGACTTTTTAAAATAAGATGTTGCATGGAAAGCCATCGAAAAAGTGTTTTGATCCGAATCATTTTCAATTGCCTAGGGTAAACATAAGAAAAAATGACAGACGCTAGACGACAGACGATTTTAGATCTGTTTCAGAAAACGATTTTGGAAATGCTTATGAATCGATATGTATGATAAAAGATGTGCCCATCTTCTATATATAAAAGAAAAAACTTTGAAATGACGGGTATTCAAGATTCACCTCAAGGCGTATTCTTCTATAAATTTTAATAGAGAGAAGAGAGAACGCTCGAATTCTTTACACCTTTAACGTCTTGTTTATAAGAAAATTCGAAGCAAAATCGTCTGCCATTAGACTCAGGTTATTCAGAAGTTTTCGAACAGGCGTTAAGTGCACACAAAAACGAAACGAGTAAAAAGGAAAAAAAACCTTTTTTTTTTTTTTAATAAGAAAAAATATCTTCCTATTTTGTGAGATCTAAGTGTCAAAATTATCAAAATCATATAAAAAAAAGTTTTGAAATAAATTTTTTTATTTTGTTATAAAGAAGAAAAGGAATTTAGTGCATAACTCGATAGGGAGAAATTTTGAAATTAAACGAAAATGGTTTACGAAAGTGGATTTAGTACCCGTAGAACCTACTCTACCAGGCCTGTTGTTACATCGTACTCTGTAACGGTAAGCGTTAAAAAAACAAATAAAAATTAATTCACTTAATATAATAATAAAATATTAAAATTGAATTAAAACTGAAGTTACATTTTAAAGAAAACAACCTTTTTAATCATAGAATAGAAAGTGTAGTGTGGTCTTCTTTTAATCCAGTTCCCTATATAAGCCTTTCGCGGCAAAGAAAAATGTGTTGAAATTATTTTCATAAATTATTGAAAAGCGAAAAAAAATAAAAAACAAAGTTTAAATTAAAAAAATCCTGCCTAACTCATAATGTGCATATAGAACATATGGAGCCGTGTGCAAAATATACGATAAATATGAAAAAGAATTTTGACACAATTTTCTTAAAACGGAAAAAAGTTATTTTTACATTATTTTGAGTAAAGAGAAAATAATTTTGTGTATTTTGATTTTCTTTTTTTTTGTCTTTTATTTTATTGCACGTTTGGAGTGCTTTCATGTCTGCACCACTTGCTGTCTACTGCACATTAAATTTTGTTTTCTACAGTTTGCAAAAATTAGAAAAAAAAAACTTTACAAACAGCGGAATTGAAACAAGTTTGAAATAATTTGAGAGGAACAATGTGTTTTTCGTTTCATTTAAATCTCGTCAATGTATCGCATTATCAGAACCATAGAAAAAATTTCGATTAGTATGTTTGTTGGTTGGTCTGTCCGGAGGTTTTCTTTTATTCTCATTGGATTTCTCAATGCAAAGAAAGCCGAAGAAGCTTTATTCTAGTTTGGGTCCACATAAATACTTTTGATCAAAACCGATATAGTATGTCTGCTGGTTGGTCTGTCCGGCGGTCCTCCCTTATTCTCATTGGATTTCTCACTACAAGGAAGGCCGAAGAGCCTTCATTCTAGTTTAGGTACACAAATCAAGTTTGATGTGCCTAGCAAAGCGCCTCTGTCAGCACGCCTAAATTCCTACAGAACTAAGAAGAGAAAAGCTAAATAGCCTTTTTTTCTGTATAAAATATTATTCGGAAAGCCTTGGTTGCTGCTGATTATCGTATTTTTAGTTCTAAAATTTATTTCTTCGATCTAAATGGCTTTCTTAAATATTTCAAGTTTTTATATATATATATGTACTGGAGTTTCTATGCAAAATTCGCTTTAAGGCGAATATAATTTTTTAACTTCTTTTTTTATTGTATACAACATCTAAGCATCTCAGCAACTTTTAGAATAGTAAAAATATGCATAGGTAGAACGAGATATTTAGTCTATATGCATTCACTTTTCTTATAAGTATTTAAGTAGGTATGAAATGGCTAATTGCCAAATTAATTGTAAAATTCGAAATCATTTGCAGGAGAAAACTGTAATGGAGAATAGTTTAACATTAGTTGACATATGTGGTCGAGTCTAATTAAAATATAAATAGTATATATATCCCTAGTACCAGAAAATTTTTTCAATTTTTTGTTAAAAAAAAGCAAATCTTGATTGATAAAAGGAGACATAGATAGATAGATAGATAGAGAGAGAGAGAGAGAGAGAGAGAGAGAGAGAGAGAGAGAGAGGGAGAGAAAACTGTAAATACTTCCTTCGCCTGAGTGGTTGAGTAGGCGAAGTATTTCCATTTACAATACAATGGTCGTGGGTTTAAATCTCAAGTGCGGTAGACTTTTCAATAAAGCCGATAGCTTCAAGATGCTAGCCCTTCAAGAGCTTAGTTTTAAAATTTATTTCTCTGGCTTAGTTAATAGCAATAGTAATAATTATCATAAAAACAAAACTGGACTTAAGACGATTCTTGGATTATGGGATAGTGCTTTACATTAGTGGAAAATTGACATTTTCCATTAGAAAATTACTTAGGCTCTGATGGATACCCTTGCAAGTTCGTTATTTTTTCATAAATGTGATGAATTTTTTTATATTTTTTTTTGTTATGAAAGCACAATAGATGCGTTTCCAAATGTGTTCGATTGAATGGACAGCACGAAATATATGTAAGCTAAGTTTCAATACTTTATTTATGGTAAACATGATTTTTTTTACAATATTGGTATAGAAAAGATTCAAAGTGGAAAAAAGGTGGAAGATTTTAATAGATGGGCAGGGAGAGGATCAAACAGATAAACGAGATTGTTGAGAAGCACATGACTCTATTGTTCACATTGATCTAGTTCTAGGTACTACAGCGCTGCCAATGTATTGATGGATAACATATAACCATCTTAAAAGAACTGAATTGTTTGTAAAAACAACAGGATTTTTTTTTCAAAAAGTTTGTCACCTCGATTGTATGGGGCTTCAATCAAACCAATATACTGTCGCGATAATATTAAAAAGAAGTAGAAAACTAGTAGTGATAACATCCAGTTCCTACAAATTCAATTCATCAACAACTTTCTCTCACACAGCCGCTATGCTCTCTTCTGTACATGGGACAATTGAATATTATTTTTACTAACCATTACAATGACCTTAAATTGCTTTCAGAAAATCAAAATCAAGCAAAGTTTTACATGAACGTAAAGCGATGTTTTTCTTTAAAAAACACATTAAAAAAAATTGATATTGAATGTCGCTGTACTATCGTGACATAACCTCAGAAATAATTTATGAGAAAAGAGAGTTACTCTACTTAGAATAAGAAAAGAACCCTTTCAAATACGTTATTTTTGCCCGTAAGAATGAATATAGTAGTACCAATTAAAATTATTTTATGATGGAGCACCATCAACAAATTAAGGAATATAATTACTACACCCGACGGAAAAATTAAAACGTTATGGGTACCAAATCACATCGGTTTATTGGGAAATGGGCAGGCTGATCCAGCGGCTGCTTCTGCTCCTCTAATTATGGATGACGACATGGGAAATTTGGACCTTCAAAGATACATTGGAAGAAGAGTTAAAGAGAAAATTGCAGAAGGAAATTTACAATACCATCACCAACACTACTCTTCCATTAACCCTCAATTAAGTCCACCTTTATATCCAACAAATGTTGAGAAAACCAAGATCCAAACATTTTCGAGAATTCGCCTTGGTCATACAATTGCAACTCACCATCTTTCCCTGTTATATGGGAAGTGGGTGAACTATTTTCAATAGCATTCGTTCTTGATTGCAAAACGCGTCAGTTTACCAAATGTTATCGAAATATCCCACGGAATGCGAATTGTAAGTTGAACGCAAGGATACATAGACAGGCAGACAGTATAGCAACAATTTCGCAATATATTTGGAAGAGTGCGACCTGTAAGTCGAATAAAAGAATACATGGACAGATAGGCAGACAGAGGGACAGACAAGCTAAGAATCATTTTCTGAATCGATCGGTATAAGAAAAGTTGGGTCTGTCTCAAGTCTTTCTGAAAAAGAATATTTCGACAATCAAAAGAAATCAAAAATCGATTTCTGATTTTTTTTATCATAATAATACGTCGGTAAATCATTTAGATTATATTTTGCTACACTTTTAAAAAAATACCAAGAACAAAAAAATGTAAAACTTGAATATAATTACATATATAAGCATAAAGAGCTTGAGAATATTTCATGTCTGTCTCTTCTTCTAAAATAATCAAATATTTTTATGCACATTCAAAATAAATTTTATGACTAATAAACTTTATGACACTGATTTATATGATTTATAATTAAAAGACAAAAAAACGAAAAAAAAAAAAAAACGGAATGTCATTATTTATATAAGTGTATTTCATTTTTGACCAACATTTTCTCTTTTCAAAATTATTTCATTTTATTTATTTTAAGCTTATTGAGAGAAAACATTTCAAGGTTAAATTATTATTATTATTATAATATTAAAAAAATTGCAGGTATTCATAAAATTTATCTAAAGAATATCTTTTTTATACATAATTCAGTTGTTCCTCTGTAAAATCCGTTGCTTAATCATAAAAGCATACGAAAATCTAACAAGAATCTGAAATTCATTTTGGATTGAAATTCACCACACACTGTGGTGTATAAAAAGACAAGAAGAAAATATACTCTCTTTGCTTGAGAGAGAATGGACGTACTTTTCAATTAAGAAGCTAATTAAGAAGAAGAAGTGTAAGAGGAAAGAGGAAAAGTTTCTTTTAAAAAAGGTGTCGTTTATCTAAACTCTCTCTATGGTCAACTAACGTACTTAAAAAACCGTGTCGGAAAACTGAGAGGACATTCCTTTACGGCAGCATGCTTCCCTGGTACAAATATCTTTAGACAAAAAAAACAGATAACAAGCGATTATTGATTTAAAAGCTAGTGGAAGAAGTTCAAGTTCCAATAAGAAATGCCGTTTTCCTCTTAGCGAAGCAATTTTCTGATCCAATGTATTCCAATCTTATTATTATTATTATTGGCCTAATTGGCCCAGCCAACTCGCCTCCTTAACCGACGTTTTAATCTCCTGCTCATAACTGTCGAGAAGAAAAATCTTTTGTATCTCGTTGAATATTTTATATAATTTTTCCCGCAGAAAAGATGCGAACAATTTAATTATTTACCTCTTGTTTTATTTCTAGCTTTTATTTATGAACTCATTTGTTTTCCGTTTATAATAAAACGGAAGACAATATCCTAGGAAGTTTCGCATTACTTTGTTGTCGACATGGATGTACTACCGACATAGTTGATTTTGATTCATTTTGGCTATGCTAGTGGATAGAAAAGAAAAGAAAAATTTCGTTGAAAACGCTTCAATTAATTCCAGGATAAACATATTATGCAATGGGTATAATTGAAAGGGGAATATGAGCGCTTGATATATAATGATTTAAATTAAAATATATCCAGGGAACAACTAAATCAAAAGGTCACATATTGGCTTTAATAAGATTCAATTATAATGTTTGAATTTTTATGAAAAAGCTCTGCGAACATTCTCTTCGGCCCATTACAGTTACATAACCTGTTTTTCAATATGACCAATTCACCACCCAGGGAAAGTTCCCTATTCATGTAACATGATGATGTTTAGGAAGAAGTAAGGAAGGCGGAAGAGGTGTGGAATGATCGTAGCCTAGTGCA